CCGGCGCAATTCATCGACGACACCAATTGAATCTTGTTCGAATTCGTCCAGATAAGCGACTAGCTCTTCTTTGCGTAAATTTCTTACCCAGCTGCGACCCATATTAACTGATATACGATGTTTTGCGATATCTGAACCTAAAAAACTAGCTGTGTTTCGATGTATTTTGTTGAACCTTAGTCGAGGGTCCCTGCTCGGGCGCCACTTGTAATGAACCTACTTTTTGTATCCGGGGTAGTACTCAGCCGAGTCCAAGGTCTTACAAGAAATTTTTATTCGCAGAGACCCAAGCGTTTAACAACGTAGTTTCCACCGTTGCGATGTAATAAACAATAATAGACAACAAATAAAATTCTTTTTTTAACAATATAAAAATTTTAATTATAGAAAATAAATAAATAATTCAAAAGAAAATTAGATTATAATATTGTACGTTTTTCTATTTGACAATTTTTATACGCATTTTTATTTCAGCAAAAGAATTATTCCAGAGATCGAAAATTGTATAACACTTTTTTTTTTTTTTAATTATATGAAATAAATAAATAATTAAATTTCAAAACAATTATGAATTTTAAAATAATATTAAAACAAAATTAAATTACATTTAATTGTACATTAATTTTTTTTTTCTTATGTTTTTCTATTTGACAATTTTTATACGCATATTATTTCAGCAAAAGAACTATTCAATAGATCGAACATTACCTTAACATTTCAGCTTCGTAATGATGTAACATCCAATTCAGGGTGAAAAGAAAAAAAATCCAGCAGCACTTAAGATTTCAATTACCTCCTTGTGTTCATCAGCATGTCGAGAGGACACCCAAGCCGCGCCGCGCCCGTTGCCTGCGGTGTCAACACTTTCGTTAGGATATACGAAATTCGTAAAGAACTTGTACTTGTACGGACTCTTATAATCGACCACTGTTAAAGCCGTCGATTATTTCTTTTTGTACTGTTGTTCTTTAAAATTTTTCAAAGTAACTCAAATAAATTTTTCGATTTATATTGTTAAGTCCACCACAAATATTTTTACCGCTTCGCGCCGTGTCGCGGGTACCATACGTTGTGTTCAAAATCAATCACGAGCGATTTTATTATTTTAATTAAAATTTCTAAGATTCAAACTTCTTTATTTAAATTTAACTATGTATCATACTAATAGGTTTATAAATGTTTCACTTTTTTTACTTTTATTCAACACAAAGAAGAAATAAGCCACACTTCCGAGCCTTTTTTTTTTTTTAAAAAAAAATTTGTTGTTCGACACTTCACCGCACTGTGTCCAAGAAAATCAAAAACCAAGAGAGCTCTTCTTTCTGATGCACGCAGTTTTATATCGTTAACGATCAACGGTATCAGCTGTAACTACGTTAGAGTTCAACGACCGTGATCGAAGCTCGTTAACTAATCCCACTGCAATGCACCAATGGAAATCCCGCCTCAAGGCGAATTCATGTGGAAGTTATGGGTTGTTTCTGGACTAAGCTTTGTTTCAGTTCCACATCTTTGCTCAAAAGCTTTCTTAATTTGACAGCTCGTTTCTTTATTATAATTTTGTTTTGATCTTTCTTTTTTTATAAAATGTGTTTCAGTGCCATTTACGGAAATTTCTTTAAATTAATTTAATTAATTCATAAAGTTCGATCCAACTAATATTCAACAAGGGCAGTAGAGCATTCTTCCAATATATTAGTATACACAACTTTAATTTCCTTTTTACTTTATTGCAATTTCAGTTTGCCCATTGTAAAAAAATTCGGTTGATGGCGGCAGTGGAATTCGCGGAAATTAATTTGAATTTATTTTAATTAATATAGTTCGAACTATATTAATTAAAAAAAATTAATATTCAAAAAAAACAGCCATACCCACGACGTTGTGACAATTTAAAAATTGCAAAAATTGTAATCGTTACAAATATTGTACCTTCTCTTTCTCTACTTCGGAAAAAAAAATGAAATTAAATAATTTCATAATATTAAATTAATACTAAAGAAAAAATAATATAAATTAGTTACACTTTAAATTAGAAGATCAAGGAAAAGCCTTTAATCACACACATGTGTTATAACATATGTTAGTGGTGATGTGAAAATAAAGTATGATAATAATGAATACCCAACTTTTGGTTTCATGAAACACAGAACCAACATTTACTCCATTAAGTTGTACGAAGTTCGCTAAATACTCTCATGAATTCTAATCAAACAATATGATTTTCCTTATGTCAGAAATGGCAACCAAGTTCAGAACACTAAGCTGTACATTAATTTCATTGCAGTTTGTATAGATTTATAGGTATTTTAATGCAATTTTATTAAATATACTTTGTTGCTGAACAGTCTTAAAAAACACAGTGACATGAAATATGTCGGACCAACACATTCGCGTTATATTACTTAAAATTACGCTATGTGCGATACGATTTTATATATACATGGTTTACCATTTATTTTTACATATAATATTAGCTGATTAGTATATTGGAATGCATAAACTTAACTCTAAACTTATAATTGATTCATTAATGATCTCCTTTACCATATGAAAGTACGATAGAGATCTGCTCGCAATACACCAAGCAATAAAGCATTTCAAACATATGTTGAAAAGCAGAAACTGTATGGTATTAAATAATCACATATCCATCATTTTCGTATTTCAACAAAGTCCTGAAAAGCATTGCCTAAATAACTTTAAAATTTTAACTACATAGATCAATTTACTACAAACATCAAACACTTACCTGGAAAAGTGGCCATACAGAAAGTAGAAGAAGGGTCTGAAAGATAGACTTCGATCAACTAGCAGAAAGTCAACAGAACGATCGAGAAATATAACGTCTGTAATCGCTGAAAAGGGTACACATATCTGGGTCATTGAATCACATTGTATGCAATTTTTCAACAAATCACAGATGAGTACCGTAGACAAGATTTTTAAATTTAATTTAACCAAGGTTACAATAAAATTGATTAGTGATTTAATCATCATGCAGTTGGTTGGTGCAAAACATCTACGTACACGTACACAACATTTACAATCAAACGGAATTTTGGAACGATTCCTCCGAATATTTAAATGTAGCCTAAAACAAAGGTAAACAGATGAATTACCGCTGGTGTTGCTGGTTCTACGAAGTGCGTACTAAGACAATATCCAAGCGAACCCAGCTAAAATGGTATAATGGCAAGTCTCTAAAGCTGGATAGGGAATTTTTTGAAAAGACATCCCACGACGAGCACGACTCCGAATTCGCAGTATTCCCAGAGGAGAGAATAAATTAACTATGTTCGATTATAACCATTTAAAACAAAAACGTTCGTACAACGAGCTCTAGAGACGTGTTCACATGTATTCCTGAGAGATCCGCTGCAACCAAGCCCATATACGCACCCAGTATAACCATCTCGGCAGAAGCTTTACCAAAGCCGCGTTGCTTCCGTTTGCCGGTTAGATTTGCAACATAAAATCAGTTACAGATAACATGGCACCGTTATCCGCTTAGCCCACTGGCGAGCGAGTGATCTGGCAATCAGACAGCAACTAACAGTTTTACACAAAAAATACAAAAACTATAATATAAAGGCACAAAAATTACACAAGAAAGTTGTGTTTTTAGTTTGTTTAAAATATATAAAATAAAAATGCCCATAAAGCCACATCTCTCTGGCCACAGGGGAACTATACTAATTATCAATAGACGTAATAAGTTCACTATATATTTTACATTCAAAAACTTTTTATTCTTAGAAGAAGAAAACTGCTGATTTATTACTACAAAAATCCAAATTTTAGACTACTGCTAAGCATGTTTTCTCTAACAATTACGCACAATTTCTCTAACAATTTCTCTAACAATCTATTGTTTTTATCTGCAATCAGTTACATGTCATGCTCTAGATCTGTTCCAGTTCTTTTCATGTAAAAGTGCACTAAAGTTGAAAATGAAAATAAAATTATATTTCCCCTGAGAAAACCAGTTTACGTAAAAAGTGTTATATATTTAGGTAATATGTTTTTGTTCCTATTGGCCTTTTTTTTGACTGGACATGTAAACGAACTAAGCCTTTAGATCTACTCCCGAATCAGTAGTCTAATAATAATATAGATTACTACTCTATTAGCACTAAGGACGTGTGCGAGTTAGGCTAAGTTGATGCTAAACCAAATGGGAGATTTTTTAGGATTTTTTGCACTGCACACATTTAGCCATTTATCAACACGTATCGACACATCACTACATTATCGGCACAACTTAGAATTTCCCTCATATAGAACCCAACTTAGCCTAACTCGCACACGACCTAAGTAAGTATTTAATAAAATGTCTTTTTTTATTAATTGAATATATAATCGATATAATTTAAAATAACAATCATATAATTTATTTTTTTGTGTGATATTTTATTACGTGAGCTTTATAAAAGATTATAAAAATTCTATCAGCTACATAAATGAGCTCACTGTAATGTGAACGTTCACTCATTAAAATAAATGAACGAGTGCCTAAATGAGATGGTGTTAATGTGCTATTAGAGTACAATTTGTGTAGTGATAGAGTTAGTTCAAATATTTTACTTAACTCTACTTGATGAAGTAATTATTTGGTAGTTATTGTTCACAACAATATTGATTAAATAAATGTATTTTTTGATGGATCAGTATTATAGAGAGAAATTAATATTCCATGTATTGTGTTTGTTTTTTCTTTTAGTAATTGCTTATTTATTTAATTACAACTATTTACTTAATTAAATTATATTACAAGTACGTACCTGAACAAATCTTACTTAATCGTGTTTTACACTTTCTTTTATTTCTAAGCAGAAAATTTTAAATATTTTTTGAGAATTTTTCTCAACATATAAAAACTGATAATTACTCTTTGGTATTGTTATGAAGAATAATCCACTTATGGAAGTTATTCTTTGGTTTTTACAATGGTTATGTATATCGTACAAAATTATAATTATCGACTTGTAATCGATAAATATTTATCAGGTTAAGAGTAAATAGCGTCTCTGTGCATACACATAGTGTGTATTTGAGTAAGTCGAGGAAACCTATGAAGCGAAGAAGAAATTGTTTTAAATATGTTTTATGCACATATAATATTGGCCAAAAAGGGCCCATTAGCCAGAGTATGGTTAGCCGCACATTGGGATAAGAAAATAACAAAGGCTCATGTGTTTGAAACGAATATTGAAAAATCGGTTGAGGGAATCATGCAACCAAAAGTTAAATTGGCATTGAGAACTTCAGGTCATCTGCTACTTGGCGTTGTTCGCATATATTCTCGAAAAGCGAAGTATTTGCTGGCGGATTGCAATGAAGCTTTTGTAAAAATAAAGGTAGGCTATTGGAACACGAAAAAAATTTGTATAAAATACTTATTATTATTAATATAGTATTTACGTGTGCATCTGAATCCATAATATAAAGTTTGAAGTTATTTTCTTTTTTTTTTGTACAAATAAAAGTCGAATGTCTTATATGACTAAATATATTATAGAATTTTCAGTTATCTTTTGTCATCTTTTTGCCAGTAGCATAATTCTATTCATATTAAATGTTTGCTCTTTGCTGGCAAGAAACTGGTTTAGATGATTCAGTATATCTAATCCTCACACAATATGATTTTACCGTATCAAACATTTTGGTAGAGGCAGAATAAGCAAAAATCAGAATGTGCGTAATCTGGAGAATATGAAAGTGAAACAGTACATATCATCTAGGCTGTGAACGCTGTTGGCATATTTCTGAATTTGCATAAGGATTCTGCGTTTTCGATCCGGATTCAATCTAGATTTATTCTTGATCTGTCAAATGTTGCCCAATCGAAAAATGTTAGAGTAATCTAACATTTATGTCGTTGTGTTAAGAGGCATTTATAATTTTCATAAATACATATGTCGAATTATGACGTTTTGACTGTCAAGTAATATAAAACAGCTGATAAATTCAGGGTAATCTTGTTGCTCTGTCAAAATATCTACAGTGTTATAAATTTATCTCTAGTGTTATACATTTCGCTTAAGATTTATCAATTGAAAATGAAGATTGCACTAAAAATGAATCCTGATTGAAAAATGTAGCCTAGATTTACAGTACATTTTAGAATTGATCGTAGTATTGTCCAATAAAGGCTCGAAAAACGATTAAACCTCTCTTTTGAAAATGATCATAAACAGTCGCATTTGATAAATTAAATATCTCGTCATCCAGGAATATGTATATTTATCATGTCTATCAGTTTAAGCTGCTTTTTTTAGATCAGCTTAAGTTGATCTAATTCTAGCACTGGCGTTCTGCCAGTACATCTTCCAAGTTCACATTTTTCTTAATTTAGCAGTATTTTACATTTGCAATAGTAAAAAAATAAATGAATAAATATTTCATCCGAAACTTATTCAATTAATTAATGGCAAGCTTTTTGTATGTGGTAATTAGTTAATTTTAAATAAAATATAACTCCTTCAGGATAAGGTCTTAGCAGAATGGTACTGCAATAGCTAAAGCTTTCAAAAGAATGTTATTGATAAAAATACAAACAGAATAGAATGCGCGACATGTCAATGACAATCTCAGCTGTTTATTTACATAATTTACAGGACCATAACATAACAGGACCATAAACACTATTCACTTTTTCAGTCTCTTGGCTTGTGTTTTCGTCCTTATCAAGAAAGACTATAAAATATGACATATTTTCTGTTTGCTGGTGTCCATCTTTGACGGGCATTTAATCGAAACTGAGTCAACCAATTACCGAATTTAAAAGTTTTTTTAGTATGAAATCTCATCTTTCTACCGCCATCTAGCGTAACTCGAGTGGTCTTATACAACGCGGGATACAGATAACTAAAGTCATCTATTGGGAAAATAATGGAATTTACTTTCTTTTTACTACACTTAATATTTTCTCTTATTTAACTGTTTATATTTTCTATACCTTCGTTCTCCATTACTTTGTCATATACTAATAATATATTTTAAAACAAAGCAAACAAGCTTACATTTATTTAAAATTATATATTTTATGGTGAATTTGAAGAAATTATGCGTTTTTTAATTAAATTTTAATCACACCTATTTTACAACTATATTTTTTTCTTTGTCGAAAATTCACTTTTATATAAAAATTTTCCTCGAATTTGACTGTTTGATAATTTATATTCTTTATGTACAATTGAAAATATATATGTTTCTGTATATATATATTCAAGTACTTAATTTTATATATATGTGATTTTACTTCAAAAACTAACAGCCAAAAGTCAAATTTCTACTTTATATTGACGTTAAATATGAAATGTCAAACCTGATCGCTGAATCAATCATGATTTCTAAGGCTGCAGTTACATTGCATGCGAATTTTGTCTTGCCTGCTCGTACATATGTTATCTAATGCGAACACATAGGATGTTGCGGTTACATTGATTGCGAATTAACAGTTCTGTTTTGTTTGTTTTGAAAACAAAATGTATAATGATGATGAAATATATTTAACTGAAAATTCGTTATCAAATTATTTATTTATTTCAAATAACAATAGATAAATTTGGGTGCATGATTTTTATTCTTCAGAGTATAAAAATGGAGAGTTTGTCTGTTCTTCAAATAAAGAAATTAGCAAATCACAATGCATTTTCTAAAAGTAGTATATGCTTTCAAATTTATTCCCATTTATAAACTAAAAATTACATGAAAACAATTACACTACTTAAACCTTCGATTTTGCACGAACTCATGAATTTCAAACAAAATATTTTGTCTAATCAAATATTTGCATGAGAAAGATAACATGTCGCGCGAATAGTTCTCAGCAACTGTAACCACATATAAAATTACATACATTTGTTCGTACGAACACGCAAGACAAAATCCGTTGAGTTTTTAATTCTAATTCAACGACAAAAAAACTCAACAATTCTAATTCAACATGTTGAGTTTTTTTGTCGTTTATATATATGTATACATGTGCTGATTTTAAGGTCCAGGTGTTTACAATATATACTTATATCATTTTTTTTCGACTCATATATTTAATGTTTATATTAAAAAAAATTATATTTGATCCACTAATTTTTTCATAGATGGCGTTTCGACCTGGAATGGTGGATTTACCTGAAGGGCATAGAGAAGCAAATGTAAACGCAATAACTTTGCCAGAAGTTTTTCACGATTTTGACACAGCTCTTCCAGAAATTAACGATATTGATATAGAAGCACAGTTTGCAATTAATCAATCTCGAGCAGATGAAATAACTATGCGAGAAGATTATGGAAGTCTTTCATTGTCGCTTCATGATGATGGATTTGGTGATATTGGTTTTGATGGTGATACTCCCGATTTAATACGTGCTGGTCTTGACTCTACGATTAACGTAATTTAAAATGTTTAATTATGTTTAATTATATATTAATTATAATAATATATAATTTTTTTTTTTTGGATTTTAGAATCAATTATTTGAGGAAAATGTTATTGCAAGTGAATCGAAACCCGAGTTTAGTAAATTAAACGATGCTGAAATGTCTAGTGGACATCTGGATGGAGATAGCTTTGGAGATGAGTTTGGACGTAAGTTATTTGTTTATATATAAATATTATGAAATACGATTTCCTATAATTAATGTATAGACCGGTAGAAATTCAAAATACTTTTTATAGGTTTTCCTTATCAATATTTGATAAATTGTTTGCAAATTAAACTATATTTTGTTTACCTGCAAGATTAATAGTTACAATTACTTAATGAAACTTACTTCCTTCACTTAATTGGTCATTATAACCGTTAGACACTTTTAGGCGTGTCGGAAATCCTTCACTAGCCTTCTCTACATATTGCGCGCTAGCACCAGACAAAAACATCAAGCTACGATATATTATCCAATATCCAACCCAATACAATCCTTTCACCATTAAGAATATATTAATCTTCTGTTATTTCTGATGGTACCTTTTTAATCGAGTTATTTATCGTTTTTCATCGTCGATGCTTATGGGCTATATATATTAGGACATATAAATTGAGCGGTTTTTCGACAGTTATTTTTATTCTATGAGAGACGATTCGACTAATGAGTTCATAGTAGCAGCTTTTGGTAAGACTAATTCTTCGCTTGATCTTAAGAATAATGTTTTTGGTTTAAATGCTGATTTCAAAACAGTCAAAACAGAAAAATTGATAAATTTATATACAAAATTAATTTGTAACTGCTGCGCATTATATACATAAGTTATCAACATAACTTTGGAATAATTCAATGACATAAATTGCAAACTGTCTCATACAGTAAAATCGCAACGCCCGTGGTAAAAGGCATATGATCTTTGTATACGATTTGGTTCAAGGAATATTTTTTTCCTATTCAAAATCTAGACATTTAAATGTTGATTTGTAAATTCAATAATATAAATTCCTGATTGCTAATAAATTTTATTAATTAAATTTAAGGTAGTTAATATTACTATTGCATATATTGTAAATAATAATAATATAATATAATTAAATATACATATGTTTAATTATTTTTAGAGCCCAAACTTTTTGAAGATGATATCTTTGGTGAGCCCCCAATGGATACACGCGTGAATAAAGAAATATCTGCAAATGATTGCGTTAATGATTCGGATGATGATGATAACAATCATTTCAATAGTGGTAACAATTCACCAATGTATACGTCCCACGATTCTCAGTTGCAAAAATTAATTGAAGGTATAAAAAATTTTTAATTCATATTTAATTTAATATTAACACTTAACCTTTAAATAGATTCTGTAGGTAATAAAAACGTTGAAGACGATTTGTTAAAAGAAAAAGAAAACGTCCTGGAACAATCTACAATAGTACAAAATGAAGATGAGAGTTTTGCTCTTGCTCCTATAGATGCATCCGCTTACAAAGGAATAACGAAAACAAAAAGAAAACGAAAATTGATTGTAGATGAAATAAAAAACATATCTGGTGAAGAAATGAAAGCTCAATTGGCAAATACATCGGATATTGTTACTACCTTAGATCTTGCGCCCCCCACCAAGAGGTGGTGAATTAATTCAAATTTAGTTATTATTTTTAAAAATTAAATAAATGCCGTTTCAGGTTAATGTATTGGAAGGAGACTGGAGGAGTAGAAAAACTATTTTCGTTGCCGTCAAGAACAATTCCTGCTCGATTTTTATTTGTTAATTATCAACGTCATCTCATATCCCGATTTACTCAGTTAGAAGATTTTTCTGCTCTTGGTCCTAGTGATCTTTTAGCTATAGATCAATTTCAACATGATAGTGATATAAATATCCTTAATAATAGAAAAGGACGCAAACGTAAAGTGGATTCATTTGGTTTGAACAATCAAATAAATGAAAATATTGGCGATGTTAATCAACAAAGTCTTGTGCAGCCAGAATTAATGCGAGATGCAGAAAATTATTCAGCAGTTGGTGGCATATCAATCAATGCTAATGTTAATACAACTGATTCTGCGAATGGTATTCCTTTATTCGAAACAGTTGCTAGTCCTGAACATTTCTTTTCTATGAATGATGTACATCATGTTACAAATTCTGACGACATTCCTTATATTACAAGAAATGCTGAAAATGATATAAATGACGAATTTAATCAATCAGATCCAGCACCAACTGAATTACATCACGATCATCTGTCTCCGCATCATTCTGGGATCGAGAATATTGATTCACTTCCAAATTTGAACGTAGATCAAGTTTCTTCTATACTTAATGAATCAAAAGATCCTGATGGTGTTACAGAAAGTAATGCTGACAAATCGTATAAAATGATGTCAGAGTGGAATGATTATGACCTTCCACTTCCTATAGAATTACAGGTAATTAGTCATAAAATATTCTTAGTAATTCTTAGATGACTGATTTGACTTTTGATATGATAAAATTATAAAAAAAACTGAAAATGGTCTATGAAGGACCGAAATATCTGTTATAAAACTAATGTTTTTATTCACATATTTTCTTTTAAAATTAAATTAATATAAAACAAAAATATGTTTTTGACAAAAACAACAAATATATATAAACAATTAGAGTCGATGCAGTTAATATTTACAAAATTATTTATAATATTTAAAATTTACTTATAATAAATATAATTTTTAGAATCCCTGTGATGAACAATTGGAAAATGAAACGAATGAACAGTTTGAAGAACGAGTTTTAAACAAAAGAGCTGCACAATTGTTTTATGCTGTAAAGTCACGCCTTGTTAAACAAGAACGTTTACTTTTATCAGAGTTAACGACGAGAAATTCACGGAAACAAGTAAGTCTCTTTAATAGAAATTGGTATTTGCAGAATTTTTAAAATTATGAAATAATTATTAAATTGTATACTAATGTATGAAATCACATAAAATCACTAACCAAAGAGACAACTTACTACTTATAATAACTACATTCAAATTTTATATTTAACTAATGCAGTTACAAAAAGACTAGCAAGTGTTCAACCCATTATATATATATATTTCACGAAATATTAAAAATGTAATTTCAAATAAAATATTGAAAATAATCTTAATTTATTTTCAGGCTGCCCAAAAATTTTATTCGTTGTTAGTTTTAAAAAAGTTTCGAGCGCTAGACATATCGCAAAGTATACCATATTCTGAAGTCGTAATAACGCGAGGACCGCTTTTTGAAAATCCAAAACTGTAATGTAAAAAAATGTAACATTTTGTACCGTATTTAAATGAATAATTAAAATTTTAACTAGAATTAAGAAAACAATACAATTATTAAATTTTTTTTATATTTAAATAAAATCCTGTTGTACAAATTATAAAATGTTAAGAATTTGTATATTTTTTTCATAACACATGTAAATAAAGCAAGTAAAGGTCTAACTTAAATCCAGTCACTAATTGTTTTTGTTTTTGGCTTTTTTAACTTCAAAATAAAAATACACTTTGAACGAGATTAGAGTTTAAGAACATGCATCAGATCATCTGCACAAGGGTGCATATAGTCTAAATCTGGTTTATGCAATGATATTTTATTTGATAAGCTCCAAAAGTCTTATCTTTAAGTGCCGATATCATTTGTGCCAAATAATATAATTGCTGTCTTTTGCCATAGCCAACCAACGCAACAGATTTTATTAGTGTGATATTAACAGAAATTTTTACATTTCTGCTAAAGCATGGAAGAACAGTACATGCATTTGATAGTTGTTGCTTTTATGGTTTCTTCATTAGGCAGAGCAAAATGTTAAAATTTTTTCTGCTTTAAGGAGATCGCTTTTTGTAAAAATACATGAATACTTGATAACTAGATAGAGTTCTTAGTATGTGTACGAAGGTAGTTGTAGATGAAGTAGAGTTATTTGATACTGAGTGAATGGACTAACACCAACAACACTTCTATTCTGCCTTCTTATTGCACACTTACTAACCCAGGAGGAAACGGATCGATTTGTCATCAAAGAGATGGACGTCTGTAGACGATCGATTCAAATGTATGGCGGTCTTCGAAGACATTTTCAAACAAATTAGCTAAATGTCTTCGAAGAAATTTTACGTATATGTCTCGAAGATTGGATGCGTCCATGTCTTGCATAGCGGACGCATTCGATTGAAAATAGTACGCTCATAGCGTAGCAACTCATTTAATTTATTTATAGATTTTCTTGTTTCTCTTTAAATTACCATTTTCCATTTAGACAAACTGTCATCGAAAATCGAAAAAACTTCTTAAAAATTATGTAGGACGTAGAAAATGGATCTCTTATTTAGATAGATTTATCTTAAATTTTTAAACATTTTCCTCCATTTTTTATTTTCTTTTTTTATTTTCTTTTTTTATTTTCATTAATCAAAAGAAGTCAACAGATCCGCGATCACGCATTCTGCCGCCGTACGGTATATCACGCCATCCAGTGCGCGGAAGGTTTCACCCGACCCGGGTACCGTCAGCCGCCCGCCCGTAATCCGGGCTGCGTCAACACATGCAACGGCCGCCCCAGATCGAAGCAGAAGTAATTGGTAATATCGACCAGCGCTGAAATAGGCCGCAGGCCGATGCTTTCCAGCCGGTTGCGCAGCCATTCCGGGCTGGGGCCATTTTTGACGCCACGGATCGTGCGCCCCAACACCCATGGGCAGGCCTCGGGGAATGTATTGGCCCACTCCACCGGCGAGGGGAAACGCCCCTCCACCGCCTCGGCCAGCCAAGGCCGCAATGTGCCAAGCCCGGCAGCCGCGAGATCGCGCGCAATCCCGCGCACACCCAGCGCATCGCCACGGTTGGGAGTAATGGCGATATCAATCACCACCTCATCCAGCCCGGCAAAATCGGCATAAGACTGTCCGGGTAGCGTATCTTCAGGCAGCTCGGCTATGCCATCGCTTTCAGCGCCCAGCCCCAGTTCACGCAGGGAGCAGAGCATACCGCCACTGGCCTCGCCCCGGATCGCACCCTTTTTTATGGTAATATCCAGCCCCGGCACATAGGTGCCCGGTGGCGCGAAAATCACCGCAAGTCCGGTACGCGCATTCGGCGCACCGCAGACAACCTGCACGTTTTCAAAACCCGGCCCGGCATCAACCTGACACACCCGCAGACGATCCGCATTCGGGTGCTGAACCGCTTCAACAATCCGCGCGGTCAAAAACGGCGCAATGGCCGCGCCACGGTTTTCAACGCTTTCGACCTCAAGGCCGATACGGTTCAGGGTAGCGCAGATTTCGGCCAGAGTTGCCTGCGTTTCCAGGTGCTCATACAGCCATGACAGCGTGAATTTCATTCTCTACACCCCTTCGTGCAGCATGGCGGGCGCGAGCGGATCAGAGCCGTAATGCCGCAGCCAGCGGATATCACTTTCATAGAACGACCGCAGGTCGGGAATGCCGTTCTTGAGCATGGTCAGGCGTTCCACCCCCATACCGAAGGCAAACCCCTGCCACGTGCATGGGTCCAGCCCGCAATTGGCCAGAACGCGCGCATGCACCATGCCTGCTCCCAGCACCTCCAGCCAGTCTTCACCCGCGCCGATTTCGCCTGTCTTACGCGACCAGCCGATATCCACTTCCAAAGAAGGTTCGGTAAAAGGAAAGTAAGAAGAACGGAAACGAACCGGCATATCCGGCTTGCCAAAAAAGGCGCGCAGGAAGTCGATCAGGCAGCCCTTGAGGTGGCCCAGCGTAATATCCTGCCCGACCACAAGCCCTTCGCACTGGTGGAACATGGGCGAGTGCGTCGCGTCATGATCGGCACGATAGGTGCGACCGGGGGCAATGATACGGATCGGCGGTTTCTGCGCCAGCATGGTGCGGATCTGCACGCCCGATGTCTGGGTACGCAGAACGCGCGCCACATCCAGCCCCGGCACGGGCGGCAGGTAAAACGTGTCGTGATCCGTGCGGGCGGGATGATGGGCAGGCGTATTGAGTGCGGAAAAATTGTGCCAGTCGGTTTCGATATCCGGCCCTTCCGCCACCTGAAAGTCCATGGCGCCAAAAATGGCGGTCATTTCCTCGATCGCGCGGCTGATCGGGTGGATATAGCCCTGCTGGACAGGCGCTGGCGGCAAACTGACATCAACCCGCTCAGCCACAAGCCGCGCCTCAAGGGCGGCGGCTTCAAGGGCGCGGCCCCGTTCTTCAACCGCCTGTGTCAGTTCATCACGTAGGCGGTTGAGGGCAACGCCGCGCTGCTTGCGTTCCTCCGGTGCCATTTTACCCAAAGCCTTCAGCAGCCCGGTCAGGCGGCCGGACTTGCCAAGCGTGGCTACACGCACGGCATCCCAGGCTTTCAGGTCTGTCACGGCTGTCAGTTCAGACAGGACTTCGTGCCGAAGAGTATCAAGATCGTCGCTCATGGAACCCCACACGAGGAGAAAACGCTACCCGGCGGATACAATTTCCTGCCCGCCGAGGAAAGCCCCGATCCCTAAAAACCCTCCATTTGCGTCGATTAAGCTCGCCCCTGACCGCCCATAATAGGCCGATTTACAGCCCACAACGCAAAAAAGGCCGCCCGGAAAACCGGGCGGCCCTTCTTGTAAAGCCGTAAAAGCCTGTCAGGCGCCTGATAATCAG